TGTATTAAGATTACATAAACTTCAAAAGTCACTAAAGAAATAAAACACATGGCATGACAAACATGACACTTACATTTATTATATCTTTGAATGTCTAGACGATTCGTTCTCACGATTAAAATGCCAAGACGATTTGGATGAAAATTGACAGAGGTATTCGTAATTCAAAGACAGATAAAGGATATGTAACGTCATCATGAATTTACGTAAAGAAACGAAATGGCGGGTTCGAATTTGTAACACAATAAATTCAACTCGGCTTGTCGTAGATAACATTTGCTGTTGATGTTCTGTAGTATTTATTTGTCTATATTTTCACATGATCTACATAATATACTGATATATAAAAAATATCTTATATATGTAGTAGCTATTTCTACCTTTGTTTGAGTTTCAGATAATTAACATATTGCCTTACAAATGAGACAGATTACAATCATAATAAAACTCGTATAAACCGGCATAAGATTATACACTGTCGATTAAAATTGAAAAATCTCTTTTATGAAGTAGACGGTAAATTATATTATATATTTTTTGGACAATGGTAAGTCTATATTAAGTTGTATTGTAAGTTTAATACTAAAGGTTGACTATTCAAAAGGACGGTCATGTTAACAATTTCTATTTTCCAATGATTCAACAGCTAATTTCCGTTATCAAAAAACATATTTTTATACTTAAAATCTTTACAAAGTAGTTATAATATTATATGAGTACCTAAATTAAATATTGTCTTATGTATACATATGTTTTAAATAAGTAATTGCAATAATCTACAACGATTTGTCTTTAAATGTACAAACGGCCGAAGCTTGCCAACGCCGGCCCAAATTAAAAAGCTTATCTGGCACCAACCTAATTATGCTACCTCAGTCAGGTAACATTTTTACTCTAAATTATGCTTTTAAAAATACATTACTATATTTAGAAATACAATGCTTTTAAATTAGGTTGTATAAATAAAGTATGTTATTTCATTTACGCTACTATAATTGATATTAAATGAATAGGTTTGATGTGATATAGATAGATACTGACTCGTGTACATATTAACTTATTTGCAGCTAAATTACACAATTAGTCTTTACATAGTTTAAAATGAATTTGCTTTCGCTGTCTGTTCGCATAGATCTTTTAAACTACGCAACTGATTTTAATGTTTCAAGAGGAAGGTTTATTACATATAAACCTTCCTCTTGAATTTAATATATATATGTATCTATAATTACATTAAAATAAAATCAATCCAAGATAAGTTTTTAGGATTACAAGGCCAAGTTGAATTTGCAATGAGGTTCTTGCAAATTCATTACATAATTTAAAATGATAATGAACTGTCGTCTGGGAAACTGAGAGATGAATAATGAAACGACCGATACCATCTATTGTTACTGAATTCTTCACTAATCTTTAAAAAAACTATACTTCATGTCAATAAGTTTTCGCATAGATAAATATATAATATAGTAAATACAAATTTATTATAGGTATGGATTGTACATACGTTTTTTTAAAGTAAGTTCTCATAGCAATTTACATAACATATGACAGTTAGTATTAGTAATAATATACCGTTAAGGCTGTTACCTCAGACGGGGTAGACAGAAGCATTGTCAACTGTCAACGCCGCAGTTAAGGCAACACTGGATATATAGTAATATAATATTAGTGTAATTTTTATTAGTATTGTGTTGTGTGTAATAATGTACAAAATATAATAAAACATAAAATTATTTACCTGTACTAGTAGATTAGCGACAATTATTAAATTATTTATTACAAAGACATTAGCTATGTGTTATTCGACAGTATAATAAAACCCTCTATACAATTATTAAATTGTTAGTAACGTGGATTAAACTAATTAAACTAGCAAAGCACCATATCAGGTTGACCTCCACGCGGTGCCCTGGAAACCATTGTACTCAATTTCTGGTAAATTCATGGGTAAACTGACATCATGTTCATGTTATCCTCCACGGATACCCCGCCAGCGTATACCGTTAGCGTATGCCGTGCCATCTCACTACTCCGTTAAATACGTTTGAAAAAAAGAAAACACCCTCTATAACAACTGATTGTAAATAACATAACTATCTACATGGTGTTATTAAATACATGATCAGAGGATTGAATATATCTACCAATATCAGTCTTCGTTTTCAAACAGATCGAAACTGTAATGTAGCGACAACTGCGACTGACGACAGCGTGACGTTCTACGATCTATGAAATCCTATTCATGCTTGGAATATTAATATATCTATCTTTCTCCGGAACGTAAATGAATAAAAATATTATCACACTAAGACATTATTTCATAAATTTTATTGAAATAGCTCTTTTGTGAAAATCCATTTCACTAGCTTGTTATTATATTAAATTAAATTTATATTCAGTTAATATTAAATTAAAAATATTTAATTCAATTACGCTTATATTTTTAGAATTGATATCATTGAATTACTCATTAATTTAATATTAAAACTTATGCGCAAAGCGGTAGTACTCCTGTTTATCAGATATTTGTAGTATCACTTAGTCATGCAAAAGTATTTCAATTTTTTATAAATATAATTGGTATGACAAACTAGTTGAGTGCAAGTGTTACTATATGTCGGTTTCACATCAAATTAATCACAAAATATCTTAGACCGCCCGTGGTTCCTCACATTAATTCTCAACCCGAATACCTCTCTCACCCTTCAAATTTAAAAACTGAGGTACAAACACAAACGAATTTGTACAAGCCAATCAGCAAATTGTCATCGATACTTACATTTAGTATTTAAAGAGAGATATATGTTAAAGTTTTCGGTGTCTTTTACCGACCTTCATTTCAAATAAAACCCTTTCTCGATACTAATGTATTAGACCTAACTTTATGGATAAAGGTCGAGAATTTGTTACTCACAAGGAAAGTATTTGTTTTGAACCGTATGTAGTAAGACAATTGAGTTGGTATTTTCAAACAAAATGTTGCGACTAAATTAGTTTATCTAGATAACATTTTTTTTTAATTTTTTCATCTGTACAAGTATTATTAAGACATACAAACATATATATTCTTAAGAATACTGTTAAGTAGTCTTATTTTAATGTGCCAGTAACGCATTTTCCAGTGTCTATTTGTTAAATTCCTCTTTTCTGATGGCAGTATAGCTCAGAGGGAGCCAGAGATCTAGTTATTTACGGATGCTTTATACTCAGTGTCAGTAAGTTGGTGACAGAAGTATAAATCACCGCTCGCAATTGTCTTCTCACCTAGGTTCGGAATCTTTATAATATATAATAAAATATAAATAAACTCGGTCTTTTCCACTACCTGAAAAGTATAGCAGTAATTGAATTTTTACTATTGTAATAAGAACATACGTAAGTCTGCTATTGTGTATAAATATGTAAGTTACTTCTATAAAATATGAACAATAAAGACTACATTTAAGATAAAACATTTTTATATTCTATCCATAATACAATAAAGTTCAAGGGGGATGGGGAGGGGTGCCAGTAATGGGGACTAGCTGTTAGCGATCTATCATTGCTAGTTACTCGTATCATTCTGCACTGATGCCTCGTCTGCGTATACGGATAGCGCAGGCTAATCCACCATTCTATTATCATCCATAAATTAATCTTAAACAGTTTAGTACAATAACATTACAAATATTACAATACACCTATAGCAAAATTGTCCTCAAAATAAGACCGAACCTAAAACAAAAATAATATGTTTACTCAATATAAGCAGGAATTTCCGTCAGAACTGGTTGTGTTGCTTTGGGACGACCGCTGTCGCGCAACCACTCCAATTGACTTGTCGTCTGCAAGTGTTTGTATTAAGAAATATGTGACGTTTATTGTAAGTCAATAGTCCCGCATGTGGGCGCTGCCCCATTATCGGCGATTTGGACACAAATGGCCGATGGTCACTCTCACGACTCACTACAATCTGGTGACAATAATATTTGTTTTGGATAGTACTATCCCATTTTTCTAAAGACAAGAGATCCTAGTTTGCTTTAGACAAAATAGTGTAAAAAATATTGTTTTGCAGATTTTAAAATAGTTTATTATATTTGTTTTCTAATGGATATGATAGTAATGTACCTACTGCCGAATTATTAAAGCGTAATCGATTCCATTGAAAACTGAATACAGTCAGAATATCGATTATTACTTACAATCAGTAGGGTTTAGTTGCATGATTCTCCCATTCTAATTTATCACAATTGATAGTATATCCATACTAATAATATAAATGCATAAATAACTCTGTTTCGCTTTCACGTTAAAACTACTGAACCGATTTAAATGAAATTGGGTACACAGCTAGTTCTAAGAAAAGACATAATTTGAAATAAGTGTTGTATGGGGTTGAAAAGCGAGATGAAAGTTTATATGGATAGTCGATATTTTTGAAGCTAGAACGATGAAATTTTTGTTTGTCATTTTGGTTTAGATTTTTTAATATTTTTTTCTTTATTTGGTCAAGGTTACGCAGACGAAGTCGCGCATAGCTAGTACATATATATTTTTTACGAAATAAAATACACAGAAAACATATAAAAATATATTTTCTCAATAATTATATTTCATTGTCGGTTCTAATGTAAAGTCGGAATCTATTAACATATCTAATTTCGACATGACATGTATCGATATTGACGTTTTAAACACTAATATTCCGTATGATAGTTAAACATATGGTCACTCCACAAGTGAGTCAGTCTATATCAATTTGACACATGCCTTCCCCGTCACATTGACGGAATGCACTCGTTATTTTTATCACATTTTTATTGACATTCATGTTGCCGCCACTTTTCGGTCTCGATATTAAATTTTTAACGGAATAACCGAAGCACATTCCCAATATAATCGTTTTTTTTAGTTGCTAGTATTTTATGCGATATCTTTGCCAATTATATGTAATCATTTTGGTGAAAGAATTTATTTTTATAAAATATTAAATTATATATTTTGTTTCTTTTCAGATGAGAGATACGAGTGCAGTTTAAAAATGTCATAAGGTAATTATTTTAATCATTCATATTATCATTGAGTAAGTTACTAATTTTACTATCTTTTATAGGATCCTAATAGGTTTACAGTCACAAATAAAGTAGACATAAATGATGACTCACTAGATTATTTCTAAAAGCGAAATAAAACAATGGAACCAAATATTGCGGACTATGAATCAACTATGACTTTCTAGTGATGAGTGGGTGTGAGATCGACCAATCATGGGATCTTTGGAGGCGGGGCAACTTGGATGCCCGCAATTAATGGCCATATAGTAATTTTTTATTGCTTAATTTTGCCAATGTTGTTCACATTCATAAATTATGTAAAATATTGTAAACTTTAATATAAAGCGTATAGTATCAGTAACACTGAAAGAGCTATAATACTATATGCATATATATTATTATATGCCCCATAGACAAGCACGTCAACTATATCTTCATTTATCGTAATCCTAATGTAATATACGCCCACAGATTAGTAAATAGGGATATTTCTGAAAGCTGTATAAGTTAATTAACTTAGGCGGTCCATTCCACAAATCCCTGCTAGCCGGGATTATTGGTTTGCTTTCGACGAGTCTCCCACAAATGAGGTTAATACCGAAATGTTTGGACAATAATGCAATAGTTTCCAATTGAAATTATGATATTAATTTATTTAAAAAGAGTATAGGAGTATTATTTAAAAAGAGTATCGATACCACGACATTATTAAATTTACTAAAAATTGGCGAAAAAAAAATCTTTTTTTTAAAGGGTGTAGTGTATACATTAGAAATTGTAAGCATGTATTACACATATAAACCTTCCGAAAGCAAATCTTGATATGATAGTGAAAGCTGTATCAATATGCGTTAAAGGAGCACAGAATAAACAAAAAAAATCATATGAATTTTTTAAATACTGGAAATATAAATTTCATATGATTTACTACCTAATTTTACCACGCTGCCAAAGCGATTTGGGTACAGTCATACGAATTTTTGTTTAGAGTTTTCTTTCTGTTTCGCTAATAAAGTTCTTTGTTTCATATTTAGCATGTCATACTTACATAAAACAGTTAATTGCAGGAAATATATGTTTTGTATGTTTCTGAAAATTATGAAAACCTACATTATTCAATATTATTATATTACCTATTATCGATTCATTATAACCCAATATAACATACTTATACGTTATAGGCGATATCAAAACTTTTATTTTAAAAAATCGGCGTTTTTAATGATAGAAATATATTGCAATTAGCTAATGATACTAAGCTTTTTACGTGAAACTTTTAAGAAGTATAATGTCATGAAAGTAGTTGCTAATTTTATAATGTAAAGTAGGTGTAAAAATATTCCGCAACTTACTTAATTTACCTTTTTAGATTTTTTCATGTTAAAATAAACGAGACAGCGAGAGCAAAAGAGAGAGAAAAACGTTAGTCGCTAATAGGTACTGAACATTTTGAAAGTCTTTGGAAAAAAGTTAGTTATAAATTTATTTACCTAGAAATCTGGTTCGACTGAATGTAAACATTTGTAACTAATCAGTTTTAAATGTAGATTCAATTTATTGGGATGAATATCTAACGCAGAAATTAATTCCTGAAACTATAACGAATATCTGCTAGTTTTATTTGTATTTGAAATTTTATATTGCTAGCAAAGTACCATATCAGATCGACCTCCACGCGGTCCGTAGTGGTCTATTTTTGTTGAGTATGCTACGATGAGCATACAGACCTGATTTCATGCGCATACTATCATCTTCCACTCACTATTCCATTTCATTACTAACTCTGAAGAAAAAGCTGGTTTAAATAAAATTATAAGAATAAATCCGATTAATATAGTACAACAGAAATATCACCATACGTGTGACCATAAACGAACCTATAATACCGCGATAATAACGCTTTAGTAAAGATACGAGACATGACATTATTGTTTATGCCATATGGATTGTGATAAGGACATCCGATACTGATATATAAATATGACAACACCATCCAAGTCAACAAAAATATTACAACTCCAATATTATACAAGCGTATCCCTTCCCATTGAATGTTCCGTTATTATTGTCTCTTTTATAATAATAGCAGGAAGATTTGTAAAGATATTTTCCTACACAATAAAAATAAAGATTTCAATATGGGTATATTCCTATATCCTGTATGTGTATATAATATTATATTAGATTTACTATATAAATGCAGACAATATTGCTGACTTTGTTAATAATTAAATATAACTGAGATACTTTTCATTTTATTTTAGACGCACAATGCTGTTTCAACAACTAAAAGGTGCCGCGATTTAACGAACATTATTATAAAACAACACAAGGAGAAGTCTTTAGATTAAGAACTTATTAAACTATTCTAAAAAGTCTATATAATTTATTCCGAGATGTTGCGGAATCATTTGAATCTCAAAACACATATTTCACTCTTTAAATAATTGAAGATGTAAAGCGCGTACATTTGTTGTTATATTACATAGATTATTCTCATTTAATTGTATCGGACTGCCAGAGACAAATAATATAAAAATATTATATTATTAGAATTGTAAAAACTAAACTACACAGTTGATGGTGAAGCAAGCGATTCCCCATCCGTACGCCTCGGGCGTATGTCAACCGCTCCGCTACAGATTATGCCCTAATCCCTTTTCTATACTAAGCCGCTTTCGTAGCTTTGTGCTGAGCATGTTGCGATGCCCGTCAAGTGCGTCCTAAATCTGTTTTCATAGGCCACCACACATGTATACTGAGCTTTCACGAATAAATCGATTTTTAATCACATATTGACCTGATTGTAGATCGTTTACAGTTTTGACGGAGTTTATCGTATTTCTTTGTATACCCGCGACTTTTTTGCACAAACTTTCATCCCCTATTTAACCCTTTTCCATATTATTTTATGAGATAGTAGATGGTCCCACCGCTTTTGTGATACAATGAAATTTTATTAAGATTCGTTTAGACTTTTTGTTTGTAAAAAGGTAATAAAGAGACAGACACTTTCGCATTTATAGTATTCCTGTGGATTACCTAATACCTAATAGTACACTATAACAGACACTTTTGATAATACCTAATAGTAACACTATCAAGAAATGCAGTTTGCAGGTATTAAGTTATTTGCATTTATGTATAAATGGCTGCGTGTAATGCACGTATAATTTCAACAAAATATATTTTTCAAATACAGTATATTCAGCGATAATACTTATTTTTGTTAGAAATGGGATCAGTGTGTTATCTGTGAACTGCTACCAGTTTATTTATAGTCCATTCTTTCAGAGAAATAAAATATCACATTGAGTTTAATACAGTCAAGCTGTACCCTCGTTATATTTGCCGAGTAAACCTTTTTCAGCAAGATAACTGTAGGGCACAGAACAAAAATGTCACAAGTGGTAATCGATGGAGAGCTAATGTGGGTTTAATGCGGTCTCGAGTTCGAGACGCGTGTCTCGACATCGCCTGTTGAGATTACTGAATAATCCCCTTTCTTTGTGCCTAAGTCACTCGGTTCCCAACTCAAGCCCAGTATGCTCTCTCGCGAATCAATTGCGATTTATGACTGTTACGGCACATTCCGGAGAGTTTCGGACTCGTACTGCTTTCTTTGGAACACAAATCAATCTTAAAATATTTTTTGTTAGATGCTATAAGACACAATTCGATATTTAATACCAGTAATATTAAATACCGAATTATACCTATATATACCTATATATATATAACTAGAGGGTGCGTGTGTGCGCGGGCCTCAAGAGGCCCGCGAGGCGTTGTCGCTGATTTTTTTTGTGAAGACGGTTTTCTTTTCGAATATCTGTTTTGATACGAAATCATTCATGTGACTTCAAATTGTAACAGTGTGGCAAAACTTTATGTTGTAATGTTCACAATACAAAACCTAACCTAACCTACCTTTCTGTATACTATATTAGTCTAGGGTCAAGTTTTTAATGTAGAGATTAACCTACCTTTTTGTTTACTATATTATTCTGAGGGCATAATTTCTACTGTAAGAGTCGCAATAGAAATCCTAACCAAACGTAACTTTCAGTATACCATTTCGACCTGTGGCTTTAATTTTTATTGCAATAGGCACAATACAAAACCTCACATTACCTACCTTTCTGTATACTATATTAATTTGGGTTCACAGTTTATAATGTAGAAATCATAATACAAAACCTAACCTAACCTACTTTTTTGTTTACTATATTATTCTGAGGCCATAATTTCTACTGTAAGAGTCGCAATACAAAACCTAACCTAACCTACCTTTCTATATACCATTTCGACTTTTTATTTTTTTTTATTTTGGCTTAGCTACCCGGGTGACAAAAACATTTCGTCCATACATTGTCAACTCCTTCTAATAGTTTACTATGAAAACCGATGTATCAAACTTACATCGGTTTTCATAGTAAAGTTTTCCAAATAATTTTGATAAAAGCCTTAGGGTTATTATTTATCGTAGGTAAAGGACCTATGATAAATAATAACCACTCAACACTCTTTTAATTAAAATATCATAAATATTAAAATCGGAGAAAGTTTTTAGCGCTGGCAATACTAAGATTCAATGCCATCCCATAAAAGCGGACTCGCTGCATGGTTACAATGTACCAAAATAAAAAAATCTTCCAAATTTTGTTCAAAGCCAACCTCGGCGACCATCTTGGATTTTTCCATTTTGATACTTCTGACGTATATATTACATGACGACAGATATATTTCGTCCATATAATGTACAGAGACACGGTCCTTTTAAAATATTCGGTCGGTTCCTTAGTAAATATTACTTTCTACGAAAATCTATGCATGGTGTTGCCCCCTAATTTTACAAAAAATTGCATAAAACTATTAAGATGAGATTTATTATAGATACCCGTCACTTTTATGTTTAAATGTCGAAAAAAAATTCCCACATTTAAGGTTTGCAAAATTACCCAAAAATCGGGGAAAATTTGTAGCCTATATAATACTTC